AACATGAGCGGGGCAATATTCCAAGAGGGTCCTCAGAGTGCCCCCGCGAGTTGGCATTGGTGGGGCGGATCGCGAGGGGCGCCAACTCATCGCAAACTGAGCTAGCCGTAGTACCTCGCCTTCCTACCACGGGCGCAGGCAGCGGCAGACGAACGCTGCTCACGCGATGGGTGGACTCTTGGTCATTGAAACAGACGGGGCTGCAGTTGGCAGTCCGTGAGGCTGACGGTGGAGGCCCACCGCCAGCGCACCCTAAGGCCGTACATTCGAAACTTACGCCAGGCTCAGCGTGGGGAGGAGAGACGGCGACCGCTGGGGCTGGCCCCTCAGCGGAGGCCTTGCTGGGTGGCTGGCCAAGGGTCATCACAGGATGCTCGACCCTTGGACAACTGAAGTCCAGCGGGCGCTGGAGGAGTGCTTCTTCTGACCAGCACTCCGCGACGAGATGGTGACTCCCCTCTTGCCCCAAAGGCAGGCCTGGGCAGCAGAGAGAGGAGCTCTAAAAAGCCTACAGGGCCACGATGAGCACCGATTAATGCCAGCGCAAAAATAAAATTTCCCCCCCTGGAGGGCGCCCGACGAGCTACGGGCCGAATGACCCCGGGCGAACCAGGAAACGAACGAGCCCAGGGCATCAGCACGCTCCTCCAGGGGGGGCTTGATCAGAAGGCGGCACAGCACCAACAATGAGGTTGGCGCGGGCCCGAGCCGAGCCCGCGTCAGGATGTTCCCCACCGCCACCTGCGTCGCCAGCTCCCTCGCCTGCCGCAGCAGGCGCCCCAGGCTCGCCAGAGGCCTGAGCGCCCTTGCCGCCGGCGGGCGATCTCGGGGCTGCCGTCTCCTTGCCAGCCTCGGGAGTGGTGGCTGACCCAGCACCAGCGCCATGTTCGCCAAGGTCCTCGTCCGTACGCCGACGCTTGGCAGCCAAGCGGGAGACGTGGGCGCGGTGGGCAGCCCTGAGCTCGTCGACCTTCTGCTTAGCTTCTGAGAACAGCGAGCCAGCCATGGTAGAAAGGCCCTTCTTGAGCTGCAGGACACGGGACTCGATCTCGAGACTGTTTTCTTCATCGAGGTCAAAGTCGTCGCACTTGAACAGGTCGCAAACCTTGATGTCGAAAACCTGGGAGAGGCGCTCCTGGTCCATGATGCCCTCGAGCGAGAGCTTGCAGACGGGAGCAGCGCTGGCGGTTGTGCCTGCCTCCTCCTGAACCAAACACTGAACCAAAGCCTTGTGCTCGTTCTCTGCTTCGATGAAATCCTGCCGAAGGCCGACCAACATGGCCTTCTGGGCAACGAGCTGGGCTTCTAACTCGTCGTGTTTGCCCACAGCAGCAACCATACGCTTGTTGATGCCTTCGACCTTCCAGTGGGCCTCGTTGGGGCGGACTTGGACAGACTTAGGTGGAGCGACAGGTGCCGTGAGGGCACGAGCGTAACGACGGTGAGATTCAGCTGCAAGCTTGTCGCCCAGCTTCTCAGAGAGTGCCGCCATGGTCTCGTACTCCTCTGCAGACAGCGTGGGTCCTGGGGCAGGTGCCTGGTGGCCGCCTTTGGCCAGGCCGTGGCCACCCTTGGCACAGGCACCTGCGCCCCCCGACGACCCTCCCTTGCCCTGACCGCCGTCCCAGTAGAAGCCTTGAGGACGCCCTTGACCGAACAGCTGCAGGGCGGCGTTGCCCTGCCAAGCGGAGTCTGCCGCCATGGGCTGCTTGTAGGAACCACAGTGCTTGCACTAATAAAACCTCGCAGCATTCTTGGCGCACCCACATATTTGGCACTTCCATTTCTTCTCTGGTGGCTGTTGTGCAGGCTGCACGCCAAGGCCAGCAGGATGTTGAAGACCAGGAAGAAGAGGTGGCCAGCCCGAACCATGGTACCCAGGTGAGACCTGGTTGCCTTTGCCCTTACCGTGAAACCCTTGCTTCCCATAGGCCATCGCTGAAAGGAAGAAATCGCGAAAGCGCTCGGAGACCGAGCGAAGCAGCAGTAGCTGGGGCGAACCAGCTCTGCAAAGCAAGAAATGCCTCCCTGACCAGGCAGTGAGGCGTCACAATCGGGGGCCGCTGACTCCCCCACGCCAGTAAGGTCAGGTCTCGTGCCAAAACGGCTACGGACTTGAGCCAAAATGGCTACGGAAAGCCAAACTTTGGGAAAACCGAACCAAAACTTTGGAAACATCCATACAGTGTTTGCGCGTCCTCGCCTTTCCGATGCTCTAACCCCACGCCTCGGGGCGCCCACGGGGCACGGCGCGCGGGCGGAGCAGCCCCCCCCCGTGCTGACCCGCGAGGCCGCCCTCCCGCCGTGGGCCTGGGTGGTGGCTGGAGAGGCGTCGTCGTCGTCGTCGTCGTCGTCGTCGTCGTCGGGCGGCCGGTGCTCCCCTGCAGGGAGTCCGAGCTG